AAAATCAACGCTAGGGGATTAAATTTTTGTTCCCCGAAGGCGCCAGTGTTTCGGGAATTCGTCAAAGATTACTAGTCAAGGCATAATAATAATAATAAGCATAGTACAAACATTGCAAGAACGGAGACTGGAATGTCGAGGAGGTGACCGGACGTCGGGATCGGAAACACAAAGACGCATTGCCGCAATCGAGGAAGCTTTTTAAGCAGAGCTTGAAGTGTAATAACTCTGTCAGCCAAAACTGGCATTTTACATGTGATAGATCACAGAACATGTACAACTACTCTTGCTAATAGTCACATATTACAATTATAACACAAATACTGAAAATGCGGAAATTAGGTAACTAGTGGTCAAATGAGTCCAGGCAAGCTGGAAACGCATATGATGAGCGGTTCCGAAACTTTAATTAACAAAAATGTGCCGGAGAGGAATTAGACAAGAAAATGGCGTCATCTTGGAAAGAAATCTGGTTCGGCGGCATCTGCTGCTATCATGTGCTCGCCGTAAGTGAAGCGGTGAATGCAGCTTGTTATCTTATCAAGAAACTTATAGCTCCTTAGCACGGCAATCGAAGGCATGCGGCCTGCTTGCTTGACAGTAATGCCAAAATGAAAAAATATCCAACTCTGGCTCCAAGGCGTTTATTCTCCCGACATAAGGGCGTATGATTACGGAGCTTTCCATGTCTTAAAAAACCAACTAGTAAGAAAATTCGTCTCACAATCGGTTTACTTAGAGAAGCCATAAATAGAGAAGTTACATATAAGAACACGAATAGTGGCTGTATGGCTGTTCAAAGCTTGCCCGGACACTGGGGCAAATATGTAAAAAATAAGAAATAATATTTCTAAGACAGATTAAAAATCATCATTATAGTACAACTAATTCAAAAACTATGCAGTTTCAAAGCCCGCCAGGTTCACTTGTAATAATCTAGTATTTCCTGTATTGATAAAGAAAAAGCTTGCAGTTCTCAAATACCTTAGTCACCTTTTACATTCCGACGATATCTTTTAATCTGCTTAATCGTACAATCCTATAAGAAATATTTTAACTCTTCTTGAAAAAAACGTCCTATGTCCTATACATCTCTATTAAGCTTGTTTACGAATACTAAACACCTAATTTTTAGATCAGACGTATATGCAGACGCTTTTGTACCTTGCAATTTTGCAACGCAAAATGTAGCAGCTGAGATAATGGTCTCCTGACGTAGGGAAATAAATTTTCTTAATGGAGAAATGTGTCCATGTAGAAATGTGATTTCATGTCCTCCAGATACGTCGTTAAGGGCCTACACGTAACCTATACTCCATTCTGACCGGAAGACTTTATCCTTATTGTCCATGGTAAACTTTTGCCTAGTCCAAAAGTATGGCTATTTTTAGCAACCAGCTACATATTTTTGACATCCTTAAGACGTAGTTGAGTTGAGCCGTGGCAGCTTTCTAAAAACTAGCTTCTTAAAAATTGACACCTATATGTACTTGTTTTGTTTATTTAATAAACATTAGACAGATATGACCTACGCTGATTTTCTCATACCTTGTTTTTGTTTGTGCTTTTGTAGTGCGCGTCATGAGAAACGACGGCGAGCTATATACTCTATCTATATATCCAGTGCACGGCATCTAAGTTAATACGTTTTTATGAAAACAGTACTGTTTTTTTATTTTTGTCACGAATTTTCCGTTGTGCAATGTTGAGTCTTCTCCTATGCTTTCTACAATAGCATACCCGCTTACGACACAGTACGCTGCCAATTCGGAGTGACCCAAGAAATATGTGATTTTGGTGACGATTCGTCTAGCGCGTAAAGATCGAACAATACCTGATCTTCGCTCAAGTTTGAAAACGACATAATGTTGTCAGTTAAGATCGGTTTGTTGTTTCGTTGTAGAAGGAATCGGCTTTGACTGGTACGCGTCGTAGCGGGTGTGCATGCCCCCTACAACAAACAGCCCGCCAACTAACTATATAATAGGTATATATTATACCTATGTACACATAATAGTTTCTGCAGTAATGGTTACCTCTGTTTACTGCAGTTTGGCACAGGTTAGCGGCAGCAGACGGTAAGAGAAAAGCTCAGAGCTTCAGTGTTCTCTAGGCTGGATATCGGGACACCCTGCGCACTATAATTTCAATAGGCTTATATGTTTCACAAAGCAACGAAGTACAAAGGGTTAATTCGAAAAAAACAACTTCTTAAATTGTACGTTTTTACTTAAGCTAATATATTTTATCTTGGTTCGGCGCTGACGTTACCTAGCTGTTCGTTTGTCTTCAACGCAGATATTTCGATAAAGAATCATATTATGCCTTATTGCGTTGCATCATTGTTCAAGATCATAAATTAGCCTGTACGTCCTGAGGAACCTAATCGCGCAATGACGGCCTTGCTCAACCAACTTTGATTAGTTTACAACATTAGTTTACCTGGGTAGAAAACCTAGATCTTGAGCCTAAACCGCTTAAAATGTTGTAGCCTTCAAACAAACGTTCTGGTTGTCTGGACAGTTCTGTCGGGATATTTAACTTTGACTTCGGCTACGAGGTGCATGCTGCTAAAGAGAGTACCGAGGGATGATTCATTTCGTCCTAGCTTTGCTTGTCTGCAGTTCTGTACCATATCAAAATATCAATAGCTTTATAAATAAAATACGTTGAAGTTCGTTTAGGATACAGGTCACAATAATTAGCCTGAATTAAGATTGTCAAACTACCTTGCAGCGTCAGAAGTGTTATCCTAATTTCTTTGGAACGATACTGCTGTGTTTTACTGGGGCTATCGACTTGTCAAGATCAATCTCCGTAAAGGCGGCGCATAAAGGGGAAGAATATTCAGAGTTTTTTTAATCTGCTGCAAAATCCATGTACCGTAGCTAAAATAACGACTATAAAGTTTATTTATTAATACATGTCCACTGACTAACAATAATAGGTGATGAATAGTATTTGTATTTGTTTTATTCATTTTAGTGTCATTAGAGAAATATAGCCTGGTGAATCGGTAATACCACCAGTTAGCATATGCAATGTAAACCTTAAAGATAGTTTTTGAAAACTCTAAACATGAAAATCTTTTTTACTTGCCCCTATATATCTGGATACACATGGCAAAAAAAAAAAAGCTAGAAAATATATATATGAACTTTGCCGTAACATATTATCTGATTCAATCAATGCGCCGACAGTTGTATAAACTGACATAATATGTACACTTTATATTTCTAGACTTGTTTTTCCTCTGTTTTTTGCCCACGATAGCACCAGTTTCATCAATGAGAGTTACAGATGTCTTTATCTAAAAACCTTTTATGTTAGTAAAAATGTGTAACAAGTGTTAATACTATAGAGCGAATAAACAAGGTATATATAGAGTTTATTTTTCTATATGCGTGGTATTGAAATGCTTCTATAAGTTCTATAAGAAACGACTGAACCAATTCGATTGATGACGGCAAACGTTTCACTTATCGGATTGCGGGTGCAGGGGCAATGTTGAAACAGTTACAGAATACTTTCTTCCTGATCTAGCCAAACCCAGGAGTAATTAACGCTATATATAACTGTTAATCAACAGAGGGAGACCATGATTCTAATTTTGGTAAGTAGACGACTCGGTCTGTTAAATGGTCCGTACGCTTAGACGCTTCGCTACTGACAATGCTATAGCGTACTCCATCTTCAATGACATGCACAATTCACACGTATTTTGCCAGCCTATTTTGTCGTGTTGGTATGGATAGAGTGGAAAGTTTTGTCCCTTGCGTACTTCATTGAGTTACACGCCTCAACCTTGGGATCAATGATGCAAAGCTTCGAAAAAATTTTTCCCTCATACACGCGGACCTCCCACAAATCTTGATCTCAAACGGTGTAATCGGTAAATATGTTTAGTTACTTTCAGAAAAGTGACCTTGCTACGTTATAGCAACGGAAGTTATTCAGATAAATTAGCAAACGATTTTTTTATAATACATAAACGCTACTTTCTGTTTCGCTACCTTTCATAGCTTGCCTAGGCTTATAGCGCTTAACGCCTAGTTACATGTTTTGATGCTTCTATTATATTACCATTTACCATTAACGATACCTTTAGCTAAGGCTGATATCTAAAGCCACTTCAGATACCTATAATCCACAGCTTACAGAACCTACAGGTGTACAGAAACTCATACCTCTAATGAAACGTCGATTGAAAAGTCTTTTTATTTTCTCACTAAGTGCATCTCAGAACCTTCAAAGAACGCTTGCCCAAAGAAGCAGACATTGCTCCGACGAATGAAAAATTTATCTTCAAACAAGCCTGGCCCTGAAGAGCTAAAAACTTATCCACTGGGAACAAAACATCAAACTTCTGATAAGCGATTAAGCTTTCAGAGAATACCCTTCTACTCAGTGTCATAGCTTGCTTCCGCATGTGCTTGGAGAAACATGGGCATAATCCATGCTAGGAGGCACACAAGAAGATCGTCGTTAAAAAAACTCTCGATAAGTAAATGATAAAGCGTGATATTTTGAAACCAAAGCGGGTTGACCTATCGCATAAGAAACGTACATTGCCTGCTAGGGGTATAGATAATATGCATCAGTAATATTACACGATTCAAGATAGAGAGTGGGAGCTCTGTGTCGTTATATTCCAAAAGTTATTTCGGTAGTGCCAACCAGCAAGACATTTTATTGATAAGGGACATATCATGTCATGTAATATTGCCGGGTAATGTAAGCATGTAATATAGAAGCGAGGAATACGATTGTTTCTTCGCTGCGTCCGTTCTTCGTAACCTTACCCTTAAACGTTCTAACGCATCGGAAGTTATGTCAGCTGGTTTTTGAAGATACATCTTGCGTGCAACACGTGCAATGGTCGTATTAAACTTGCATGCAGTGACGTACGCGACGGTAATGCGTGAACACAAAAACACGGTGACATAGCGAGCCTGCCAATCGATCGATTAAGGTCACTCCCGTTGATTGGACTGGAAATTGTTTGGGTCGCAACCGGCTTAGCGCGTCGTTTGCCCAAGCTGACAACAAACCAAGATAAGATAATTAGTTCCAAGGCTTTCGACGGGTAAGCTTAAAAATTGTCTCGTATCTAATCATTATTTTTTAACGAGGGGATGATGTGTAAATTTCGCATAGGGATATGAGACCTCATTTTTAAGTATCTGATTTTATTATTTTCCGTTAAATTCACCTTCTCGTTTGTATCTGGTCCACCGATGCTCACTTTGAGTGTCCCTTACTGTCGTAGCCGCGCAACGCATTAACTGCACAATTTAACCGATCCGAATCATGTTTTGACGCATATTGTATAGACTAGTAGGGCATAACCTTTTTTTTCTTGAATTAAGAAGCCTTATATCCCCATACTATTTTTTTAAGCTATCAAACACGTATAAATCAAGACTATATCATTTTACTCTGTGTGTCGCAAAGGCGTCACAACAGTTTCAAGCTATTTGTGCTATTACTGCTTACGAACGCTCCCAATGTCCGAATGTCAGATTGAATGAACAATTCGAATTTGTGTAACAAATGTATGGCATACACATTTTCCTTTTTTTGAACAGCGCTAAGCAGCAGGATCTGTGTAAGCAACAATTTTATTATTGGTTATTGGCCTTAATTAGTCTTACTCTATGGTTGATTACACTTTACGACTTTCGCTTGTTCTAACCCGCATCTTTATACAAACGTATTGAACTCAAAGAAAACAGTAGACGTCAGGTAGTGGCCTGAGTGTATGCTTGATATTTCGAAAACTCTATGTGATACAGACCGCTCAGCTCATAAATCAATCATGTAGATATGCTTAGAAGGAATTTGACCTCCTGTGGTCCCCGGTTCGAAATAAAGGCCCGCCGTGTCAAGAACGTTCCGCTCAGTTATCACTAGACCGTGAGGGAAGTGTAAACGGGTTATTGCGATTTGTCGTATATAGTTTCTAGAGATCTTGGTTCGTAAAGCTTTCTTTTACTCTAGCTTTTTATTGGGTAAACCCCAATAGATAGGTTGGTATAAGCTGATATAAGTTGGTTATAAAGGTGAAGGCAAGAAATTAATTTTCAACGACAACCAAGGAAGTGAATTCTTGAGCTTGTTAGGAGTTAGGGATATGTTTTCATTTAGTCCCGTTTCGTTTTTTTGTTTGTTGAAGTTGGAAAAAGAATTCGGAAGAGGAGATAAGAACGCATGGTATCGTTTGTCGTCGTTGGATATTTTATCCATAACTGTACCGTGTTTATTTCGCATAAACTATTGTAAATTGCATGAAATGAGCAATTTTAAATGTGGCCTTGACGCTGACACCTTATAAAGGGGTGTATGTTGTTACAGCATGCACTTGTACTCGGACTCGAGTTGTGGTGGAACTGAAAAAGCTTCCAGGTCCAGATTAAATTCGACTGTATTTTTGTCCAAGATTTTTTTTACCTAAACATTAAGATTACGGATTTTGCCCCTGATGAATTACCTTTGCTGCCCCGCCCCCCTTTTGCACTACGCTAATTTATAGTACTGTGGAACTCTTACCAGAAAACCGTAGTCGCTCAAACCTGGCTTTGAGATTAATTCATGGTCTATCTGTAAGAATCAAACTTAATTGTTGCACGTTTCGGTGTTAAGTCAAGCTATAATTTTAAGAGAGAACGAAATCCAATCTCTGTTAATACGATATTACTAATTCTCTTATTCTGATGATAGCAGTTTGGAATTAGAGTATTTTTTGAAAACATTCATTCTTCTGGTGCGGTACTTAAAGAGCGAGATCTTCCAAAGTTTCTGGAACCGAACTATAATGAGGACTGCACTTCACTGGGTATAGAGCCTAGTTTCCTAGATCAACTTCAATGGCAGACGAAGACGTCGAGTTTTACGAAATGATATTGTTTGTTAGCAATTTTGTGTTTAGACGAAATGATTTCCCAAAATACGTTCGAGGTCCATATTTAAATTGTGATAAAAAAACATATTTAAGATTGCTAATTAATAGCTGTTCCCGTTCGCAATTAGGAAAGATTGCTTATGTAAGGCTCGTAGATTGGAAAGCATTATAACAGCAAAATTTAGCAGTAAAATTTGCAAATTTAATCGACTGTATAAAGCCTAGAACGACCAAACCTAAAGGAAAACCCTAACAGATTATCATGTTTAATACACTTACTTCAATGGCCTGATTTTGTCTTTGATAAACACCAGTGTCTCCCTACATTTATTCTAGTGGCTGGAGCTTGTTTATGCAATTTGACTGTTCTACAATATGTTGGAAGGATATTTTTTACTTGGTAAGTTGGCCGCTAAAATGACTTTTTGCCATTTCTGTGTATTACTAATCTTTGCAATTTTTTCATTGTTTTTTTAATACGGATAAGAGTAGCACTTTTATCCACGACTGGGACCACTAGGAAGCGTCTGCGCTAATTGGACAGAGCGTCGGATATAGCCCCACATAACGTAAACTGATTCACTTTTCATCGCTGGCGTTTAATTGCTTTATACCGTTAGAAAACTTTTTCGTAGCTCTGCGAGCCATATTTCCATTGAGACTACGGCACTCTATTTCGGGTTGTGATAAACTGTCCCGAGGCGGCAAGCTGCATTTTCGGCGATTCGAAGTCAAAAAGCTGCCGAATCCACACGGATATGTTGTTTTCGAATAAAAATTGAGGCTTTCTAATTGAAAGTACAAAGATAGCGTGCTAAGCCTAGCGATAGTATTTTTTGACCTAAAGGATGCGGCCGACTCGATCTTCTGAGTCAGACGAGAATTTCCGAGATCCACCTTTAAGGAAAAACGATTGTGAGTCAAGTCATTATCCCTTAGTCTTAGACGCTAAACTTTACGCGGAGCGTGTATATCACAGGCTGCTTCCCTTGTAACTTAAGTACACAGGTACAAAATCGATGTTAGGAGTTTTCTTTCTTATTTTTTAGCTGATATACGTAGTCAAACGGCAGCAATAAACAGAAACGATTTATTGGCAAGGTAATCTATATCACCGCGGTATAGTACAAAAGCCGATACGATCGACATATTCCGTTACTAGAGAATAACATTTTTTTTATAAAGTAACACAAGTTGCTAGCGCGGCCGTCGATGAACTACCTCTAACAGCGGATCATTTCTATTATCTAGATGAATTAAAGAGCGGGATGGCTGTCTGTTCTCATCAAGACACTGACTGATTGCATAGAAACCAAAATCATCATCTGTGCGTATCGAGAAAAGCTTATGCGGTGAACGGATTAAAGATGGAAAGACGACCACATTATTGAATACGGTAGGACTTGCGTAAAGTTTCGACAACTAGCGCAATATACACTGTCCTACCGACGTAAATGCGTGTTTAGATTTTGAAGTGCTAAACGTGATTCTTATCTTGGCCTACAGCTTCGTGACATATACTAGTTTTAAAACAAGTTGAGGAATATTTCTGCTCAGTTTATTTTAATGAGTATCGAAAGAGAGCTACCTGCTCATATTCGCTTCTCGATTGGGCATGATATTTTTAGTGGGCCGGTTTAAATGTCCATTTTCCTACCTGAATCCATATTCTCAACTCTTGATGGGCCTTCCAATCACATGTTCACAGAAAAGTGATTAATTGAACTTGTAAAACGGGTGTGCTTTTTGTAGCATACTGGTGTATGATAAAATGACGATGAGTCTGTACGTGTGCCCCTACAATCGTAAGTGTGGCTAAACTTTTGTTACCACGACATTAATGTTTTCACGTTCTTTCTTCGCAGAATATTTTTTCGTATGGAGCAGCAACTTTTCTCGATTTTCAAGCGGAAAGGGGCCCCAAAAGTTCTTGTTTTAAAAAACTCTTTTTCCGCCCGCTTCTAGCAGCTTGGTTCATCCAGAGAAATTACACACGAATTGACCGTAAATATACTACAAGTATTTAATAATAGTAGTAATTGTTACACATATAATTTAACAAGTCATTTGGGTGTGTAATTTCGTGGCATCTATTATGAAAAAAGTCAATCAACAGCTTAAAAATAGGCGGCCTCGTTGACTAGGCACATTTGAACCCTACGAATGGATTATTTGGGAAAATAACTTCGAGCGTCTTAGACAAAACGAGGCAAAATTAGTAAGTTACTTCTGATTAAACGTTTGGGCATATTAAGGTGTTTTATAGGTGTGAGCATAATCAAGTAGATCAGGCTCTCTAATAATAAGTCCACGATGTCCTTGTAAATATCATAATGACTGCATAATAGCCCAGGATCAATTTACCTATAACGATCATTGGATTGTTTATAGGCACGGCTAGTATCATTTTGCGTCCCGTTAGGCACTAAACTTACACTATGTGGCCTTTTCTCAGAAGCCTTTTAGACCCGGCGAAAAATAGCATAAGCAATATTAAGTTTTGGTAAACTTCTCCCACTAACGACTGAGACCTAACTTGTTACAAAAATGCCACCATAGTCCGAAGACCCTATATGCCAGAAACTACGCAAGAGATGTATAATAGAATAAAATAGTCGGTAAACTGTTTCTAAAACTAATCCTTCTCTCCTTTTTCTCGTTCGTATAAACAGCTTGGTATAAAATATTCATAAGCGAAAGACATAATTATTCAAAAACCCAACCGATTACGATACTATGCGTGTCTACCTCAGAAGCGGTTGCTGCAGGCTAAGACATGATTGTATAGCTCACAGGGCGAAGGCCAGCTAACTGCCACGTTAGAACCCTTGCAGCGTTCGGTCTACTGCCCGTTGTATCGTAACGAAGACCGATATTCGTGTGTATACATAGAGCTCAATCTGTTGGTGTACAGGAAGTAAAAAGGAAGTTGCGAGGGGATCTGCGCGTCGAGATGAGGGCCGTTACCCGTTAGACATTAAAGCACTGCCAGAAATTGATTGAAAGCGTTGACTAATGTTGTTCCAGCCAAAAGGCTCAGTAGCAAACGCGAATCGAATGACTAAAATAAAAGCTAAGCCTACCGGCACATTCGTTCACAGACAATGTTAGGTCCACATAAATTGTATACTCTGGACAACGCCAGCTGTAAGAACTGATGTGGTTCCTTGTAGCTTTTACTTTTACCTAGTTTAGATACAGGTGGACGTGTGTGGTTCCTTCAAAAACTAGTTAGATCATCATACCTAACTGTTTCTCCTGTTAAGTACATCGTAGTACTAATAGTAGCTATGCTCGCCGAAAGGGTTTGTTTATGAGGTGAGCTCTTCATTCTAATTTTGGCCTTTATATAAATAAACTTTTGCGTGATAGGCTCACTACACGTCCGGCTAGTAGCTGCACGCTTTATGAGACTTATCGATGACGTTTTTAACATTAACGTGAGCAAAAAACGGGACATTAAAATTTGAAAACAAATGAGTTTATTCAGATGCGGATGTAGGGTAGGTCAGCAACGCGCTCTACAAAGAAAGTTCTCTGTTCAGCAGACTGAAGAGCAAGATAGATACACGAAAGACTGGCACGCCGAAAATGCAGTCATGCAGAAAAATCAAGCTTGAAAAACATGTAGAAAATAAAGTTTAATTTATGCAATTGCAGATTTGAGTAGTTTACTTGCGATCTCGTTTTGACTACTTTTGTCTCCACAGCAGACCTCGGAATCAGACTTAGACTTGTTCGTATAGAAGGACTAGGAGACTAGGATGTGAACCTATGATGTAAGAAGTTTATGCCCATTTACGCATTTTTCACAACCCAATTAGGGTTTGCGGCTTTAAAAATCGAAATTAACCGAGCTTACCTAATATCTGAACTGATCGTGTGTTTGAATCTCCCAACAAACCGCGCCTGAGTAAATCCTTATAGTTGTATATCACAAGGCACTTTAAAGACGCGCCAACCAAGCTCAGTGATTCTGATTTGTTTCAGGGGAGTGCGCAGCTTAGAAAAGGACATGATCCATGACCCGTGCATGAAGCCTTTGGGACTAGGCTAATATAGAATATAGTCATCGAAGAATATAAATATGCATATAAGAAGTGAAAATAGACCATGTAAAGTAGATGCGAACCCAAGAATGCGTAGAGTCCTGTGTCAATTTCAGGAGGTGCAAAGATTTCGTTCTCATCTTATGACCCGTATATACTAAAAGCAACCTTCAACTGCACAACCTGAAAGTTCATATGATTATATAAGAGATCATAAAAGCTATGCTACGTTAGCCGCTGACTTGGAGTGAGTATGATACATGACAGTAAATTTTTGAGCGTACTATGACTCCGTTTGCGATTAAAATTAGCTTTGTGTACTTACCGCAAGACTGACATCTCTGTGACCTACATCCCATTTATGTCCGGCTTAGCTTTTGTGAAGACGAAAACCGCTTCTGTTATTGTTGCCAGTTTTTTTTTTTCTCTACCGTCGATAACAGCATCTGATGAACAACTCTGTTATTTTAGCAAATTCCCTGTATGCTGCACAGCTCCTTCGTTATTGTTGTCAATATCTTCCGGCGCTCTCGTACTCGTTCTGCCTATCGAATGCAGCCGGATATTGTCGCGTTACATTTGCCCGTCATAAATACACACGCTACACTTGTCATATCGTGTTAGCCTTCAATAGGATGTACATAACTAACCGAGGTACGTGAGGTTACTGACAACAAGCTTACTACGTGAACGCACTTCCAAGCTATTTAGATGTGAAAAATTCTCTGCATGTTTCAGTTGACTTACCAGCAAATCGTACCTTTCCTATGATAAAGCACGTATCGTGGCTACAAATAAGCAGATCCTACACAGCGTTTGTAGGCTGAACGCGTGCCAATCAGACTTGGAAACGTTGCGGATTAAGGAGGCCAATGTACACTCACACATATCAGCTACTGCACATGAAGGTACATAATAATACTAATTTCATTTGTTAAGTACCAGGCTGACCAGCCGTGTATGTTCCCAGATTGACATTCTGTATTTGTATAATGGTAAGATGCAAGTTAAATTAACATTTCGAGAAAAAAGTTATGCATGCGCAATGTTTCATCGACTTATCCAGTCGGAACGGCCACATTACATTACAGTGCGGTCTGTCGGTTCAACAATTAGCGGACTCGGTGCTCGATTGAAATCCTTTAGGTAAGTAAAGCATTGTTCAATACAGAATAACCAAAAGACCTTAATGCGGTTGAGAACGATGGATTTGCTTGTTTGTTTCATTTTTTTTTTGTTCATATGTTTTTGTAGACTTAATCGGCTAAAGTTTAAAAAGATCGGCAATCAAACAAAGCTAAGTATCGAGAAAGAACAATAATATGTATATATATATATATACACTCAACTATCAGCCCAATACCGCGCCAAATTTTGGTATTTTCAAGTGTTCTTCGCTTCAAGCTATTTCGCTTATATAGCCCTGTACATAACAATATATGGCAAGACGTATTGGCAATACGTTTGCAAATAGTTTTCGATTTCGGTGGTCCAATAGCTATTCTAGTAGCTACTAAACAAAATGCAGCACATGGTTGCCTCTAGGACAGTTAGCAAAACTGCTCATATCGACCTCTTTCTGAATGGCTCAATAAATAGCTTATTACTAGCTTGGTCCAGAAAAGAGCCTATTGCCTGCGACGTATCAGGCTAATGAATAATGTTGACATTGTGTCGCTTTGATTGTGTTTATTACGATGCCTTCCTCGGCATCGAGCGCCTACCAACAGGGGGGAAAAAACCCCTCGCACAAAGGTCAGTCTCTTATTGCGTTCAGATTTGTTACAGCTGAAGTCGGCCATATACACAAAATTATTTTTTGAGACACTGATTAAAAATGCGTATATATACTATGTCGATTCGTCTGATAAGGCTCCGAAAGCCATTTGATACTTTTGCAGAAACCTCAAGTGCTAGGGCTTCATGACCATGACAAGTATCTATCGACGGCATGAAAATTTGTGACTTCGGATGTTTACCTTCAGCAACTAAAGAACGGCTTTCATTCTTCATAGGCTTCGAGACACTGTAGTGAAGTTGATACAGGCTGAACTGTTGTTACGCTACGGCAGAGAGAAGTAACGATCTAGAATAATGCTCGTCAACACGGTCGGCTTTTATTTAATTTATAGATTACTCGAAATCGATGTATTTTCTCTATTACACTGCAATGCAGTGAATTATTACGCCTAACCCTTTTATAGTTTAGCCCATGAAGCTATGGATACTCTACATTATTTTTAATGCTACTAACAAAGGAACATTTGGTTTGTAAGTACTATACTCGACTGCCTGTTAAATAAATGAGCGGTCTCTCATATTTTGGACGTGTACTATCGCTGTGAATAGCATACCATTTTCTCTTCGTAGAATTCCGTTTTGGGCCTTAAAACGTAACAGATATTGACATATTGGTATTATACATGATTTACGAACTCAGGCTCAATTTCGTTCAGGCATCGCCTACTGTTAGAAATGTGCCGGTAACTTGGTGCTAGGGACAATTGACATTGAGACCTGCCATAGTTTTTCCACACATACAATTGCCCAATACTTTCCAGTCTCAAAAAAAGAATCCTAAATGCTAAATAAATGAGAAAACATAATAGTTTTCTGTGGTAAAAAAATATTTTTTCCGATGGATCTGCACAAAAACGCTCGAAACACTTTGCAAAAATAAATTACAATTTAAAAAATATTGAATATTAGCTAGTTAGGTGTAGTTTAGTTGAATCTGAACATCTAGCTACTCTAACAATTTTTTGAAATTATATAGCTCTTATGTAGCTATACACACTTGCGTAGGACGTGCAATGTTAAGCCAGGATGAATACCTATAAAGCATAGCCCTTGCATTATAGAATATAGAAGAAGACATATGAAACTAATAAATGAAATAAAATCGAACGGCTCAATATGTAGCATTATTATACTTTGCTATTGATTTGTATGCTTGTGTTTTTTTTTTTGTAGAATAAGAAAGTTTTCAAAGTGTCTACCGCGATTGGCATGTAACAACCCACCATTGAACTTCTTATGAATATATTTAATGTCTACTTGGTGCTGCTTAGCTGTTACTATGACAGTTGCACGACGTCTGTTGTTGAAAGGTCGTCATATTTTAGCGTTTGTTCCCTTAGAAGAAACAAAACAAGCTGGATTGGGACCCGGCGACCTTGAACGAAAAGGTAAAGATTTCGATGACAAAAGTCGACCATTAGGCCTATACACATCTTAACCCCAAAACGTATAATCGATTCAATTTGTATGTGTTTAAAGAAACACGTACAAATAGGATGCACGCACATACAACGCCTAACGGTATTGTGCCGGTCGTAGAGGCGCAAAAAGTTCAGGTATGTGTAAAAATTAACTATCTCTCATAGACGTACGATTTAGACTTTTAAGAACATGTGTGCTAGGAATTAAATATGTATAACATTTGGGATACGTAGTAGTCCCCATGTCAGCCACACTGACCCAAAATCTGACGGTTGTTACCTGTAGCTTACTGCAACAGATACTAAAGTTGTTTTCAAATTTGTGGATACCTGGAAGTAATTTACTTCGGTGTCGCGCACAGTGGCGATAGGTTACGAAGGGTAGGCAACTTTGTTTCATTTTTCCTCATTTTCAGATATATTTCAATTAGAGAGAGATCGTTTCTGTTTATAGTTCTAAATCATATCATAGTTTTTTTCAGCACAGATTTCGGTAACGGAAGCCGTATCAAAAAATCGTATTAGCCAGTGAAGCTGGCTGGGATAAAAAGCGTCCAAAAGATGACCCAGTGTAAAAAGCCTTGGTGGTGCCTACATAGTCGGCACAAATACTTTTGTTAAAAGTTGAGCACTGTAACTTGATTAGTTCGCAAAGCTAACACCTTAGCTCTAATACTTCAGTCAAAAATCAACTTGAATTTCGTGACGCGATGGGAATGTAAGCGTTTCATATAAAAATAACATTAAAGGACTGCCGGCAGCCGTAGACAAATATCTTACTTATGTATGCTTCTTTTGATTACTATGGATCATATGCATAATCTTCAGTGGCAATTTTATGTGTTATTTCTTTACGACGGAATAGCTAATTAATGGCACATATTGTGTAACCACTCGTTTCTTAGCAAAAAATTATATCGATACCATGCTTCTGCGATTATGATCACATATTATGATGTTTCGTATTTACTATGTATAATTTATTTAACAATAAGTATATGTTATTATTTTATTTCCTGTATAAGTAAGATCAAGAAAAAGCATATCATGGCTTTGTTTCTTACTTGGAGTTTTTCGACAAATCAGCGTGAAGCTCTGTACGATAGTTTTAGGAGAATTACAAATATCCTGTTTATTTATTATTATTGTTATATAAATAATTATCATTTATTAGCGCGGTCATTAGAAATATTTGGTATGTGCATGCTATCAAAAAGGATTAGAGCTATGCTAGCATTTTACTAAACGGTTTTGATAATTAACTTGCAGTATTATTTTATAAAACATACATTTCGCATAACATCATTTTTTTTTATATACATTATATGTTATATATTGTTAGTGTGGTGTTCGTTGCCTGCCAAAAATACTGTATAGTTATTCAGCAATAGTTTTAATCATTTGTTCTATTACATGACTAAATAATGATATTTTATCCATGATCCGTTGCACGACTTGCCTCTCAATGACGCATAATATCGACGCCGTAGCTAAAACAAACGCGCTATATAATAAAGGGTAACGATACTTTAGGCCAACAGTCATATTGTCTAAGATAGTAAAAGTAAATTATACATCTTCGAAGATCCAGGTGATATTGCTACAGTTCCGTATGTGCAATAGAGATCTGTTTTTTCTTCTTTTTTTATAACTGTAGATAGGACATATTTTGACCAGTTAGTGTTTTGCCGGTGTCAACTCTGGTGACGATAAGACTGTGCACAGCGAGAGATTTCTAGCTTAGCTTGTACGATCATCTGGACGTGATCAGCACGATCAACATTTCGACAATTCCTTCGGTGCGCTGACTAGTTCCTCTATGATTCCTGTGACTTTTTCAAGAAAACCGCTTGGGACCACTGTTCAGTGGTAAAAAGCTGCGTTTACGAACGCTGCCTCGAGAGTTTATTGTGTGGTAAGAACATCTATATACATGTATATTTTCATCTTGGGTTATGTCATTAAAGGCCAGCTAAGAAATGGCGCCAGCCCAAACTTTAGCCAACTGGGCGCCTTAAGTTACTCATGATCAAATATATATCTGTGTATAGCTGCACATAATTATGTGTCATTTAAACCTATGTGCATGATCAAATATATAAAATACTATCTATTCATTTATATTGTGACAGTGATTGATCAAGTAGAATTGCTTGTATCAAGCGAAGACCGAAGGTCGTGATGCGGTCGCTGTCATATTTACCATCACATTTACCATGCATGTAATTTAGAGAGGCAGATATTAATGATGTTGTGTGGAAGTTTGGCGCTGCTGGCTGAACCTGTCGAAAGCCCTCACGCTTTTCCTGCCCGATCAATAAACATTGCAAAATGATTAACTGTTATCTTCACGATACTAACACCTAAAACGGCCAGACTTCTGGAAAAAGATTGAAGTAGCTAATTTAGAGTAAAGCAGAAAGCTCTACTGAGGTCACATAGCGAATTCATAGCATGAAGCTGACTGGTCACAGAAAAAATGCGACCGTGGACATTTTCCACTGTGTATCGTAAACATAATGTTGTACTAGAAATTCGAAGCAAATCGTACTAAGGTTCGTACGAACAAATCGTACGAAAAATTAATAAATAAATTAATAAAATAATCGCGTATATATTATCTCTACCTATTTCGATTTCAGTACCTTCATTTTGTGGTTAATTACTATAAAGCGAACCGCCCCTTTTTAAGCCTAGCATCTTTCAATAGGACAACCAATTCTGTGTACAAGCGAAAATGCTTATAGAGTTCGTCACACTTTCCCACTGAGATACGCAAGAAAACGAGACGGCTGCGGTCATCAAATACGGTGATCATCCTGTATTTCCGAATTGACTTGGTAAACCTCATTGTCGAAGTAGGAAAGATGTAGTGCAGCTTACTTATATGCTTTTTAGTATACTAGATTTCAGACGATCAATTCACCGCCATATTGGCAACGTACTACATAAAAGCGGTTTCAATTTACTTTTGACATTTATTTTTTATATAATCCAAGCGGCGCATAATATAAGGGGAAATATCATCATATCGATCCTTCCGAAGTTTCGCAACGCAGCCAGAGCTATATATATATATATATATAGTTTTGAAAGGTTTTAGCCCCTTCAAAAAAATCCTTATTTAAATAAGCCGACATTTTCAATGAAACCGTAATGATTTAGGTACAAATATTAACGATTTAAAAGTTACTTGTTCCATTTTTGTTTGCAGGTGGGATGGGTCTCGCTAATCTCACGTTTTTGCCAACCTAATATTCAGTTTCCTACAAATTCATTTTCCTTGCAGAGCTTGCCCTTACGGCTCGTTCCTTGTGGGGCGTCGTTGGTAAGGATACTCGTTACTGTTCGCTGGAAATTTTTTTTTACCATTCACTTGGCTTGACAACGTTTCAGCTGTCATCAATGTCTTTCAACTCTCTTTTCGCCTTTTATATTTATGTATAATTTCATTTCTGTGGAACTATTTTACCTGTTCTTTGTATTCAAAACTAACCTTTTCTCAGTTTAGATAATTGGCTTAAGATTTTTCTATAGTTTTAAGCACACATATATTTTTTGGGCTCGCATTATCTCAAGATATCTGTACGTTAAACTCGGTTGTAGTGTGATCATATGAGAATTATTAGCAATCTGGCTAACATTCAGAACCGTCGTTGTGAAGATCATCGGGGACAAATTATTGATCTATGAATGACGTCCTATCGAAGCATCGTGTTACCACACACATCCTAAGTACGTGCGGATAATAGCCAGCTTGACAAGGCCGAAATCTCGCTATGCTATGGAGGGCGTGTCCTTGTCTTCCGACTCGCTATTGGCATGTAGCTATCGATGAGCCACTATAGGTTTTTTGTGTAGCATAGCACTAGGATTTGTGTGACCATCAAAAGCTGTCAAGGTCGCCAAGGGGCGGACATTTGCTCTACTGCGAGACTCAGCGAACCCCCCGCAGCGTTAACTGGGACACTTTGTTAACAGCTGGCTAACACGGTGTCGTCGGCTCTTTTTTTGCGAATTTTTTAGCCTGAAGCGATTCGAATTTTATAAGCAATTCTAAAACGGGAGGGAAAGAGCGTGGATTTCAAGCATGCAGGGTGAGGCAATGTCAACAGCATGTCTAAAATTTCCTGCCGAAAAGATTTCAGCAACTTAATCATTGCAGCTGCGGTAAATAGCTGAGATAGGAACGTTTACTGATGCCGAGCCAATACTCGAATGGATACATTCGTATGAAAAAGCAAAAGCGAAAACGCTACTCTATATTATGGCTACGCCCTAAATAATGAAATAAGAGAGAAAAAAATGATCTGATTAATAGCTAATATCCTTCCCGAACTGGCCGTTTTGAATCCTAATGAATGAATGTCATAATAATCATGACAGCATTCGGTATAAGTTAAACAAGCCGGTCTGATTCTGTGGACACTACCAATGGAACAAGATTCAAAAGTGTTAGAAAATTAACAATATGCTGGCCAAGATGGCCTAGCCATTCGTTTAAAAACAAAGTGTATACATAGTTGTTATTAGTTACAACCTGCATTCTTATTCACACGTAATTTGTATTTAATTCGAATATAAAATACTGGAAAAGTGTAACTTGTTATCCTACCGTAGGTGTTCCAAACGATTACCGTTATAGCTAATACACTGCTGACAACAGCAAAGACTGCGAGTTGCGAAAAAATTTTTCAGTGCAGTCGGTTTTTTGGCGTAGACTTTTCCTCTAACGTATTCCTGCAAGGAGAAGTCCATTAGCAAAAGATCGAAGGAACAAGCGGGATATTCTATAAAACCGCCTCGTCCAATCCAGCCGTCAGAGGAGACTCTCACCAAAACATGTCTTTCTATCCTGAGCGCAGGTGTTCCGTCCTGAGGAACTTGAATTTCACCATTTTTACCAAGCGTAAGAATGCATAATAAAACAAATTCCTGCAGTAAACTTAAAATATTGGCATCGGCTATTGCAAAAAATGGGGGTGCTTATGTAGCAACCGATAGCTGCCATGTTTTTGGGTAAGTTATTTGCCATAAATTGATTTACCGTACTCTAAAGAGGCTGATTACAAACAAAATCCTGGTAAAAATCGAGATTGATATTGAAAATCTGAGTGCAAGCTAAGCTGCAATTTTACACATGTATGAGCTTCTAGTACATGCCATAGAGGCTGGTGACCGACCCACTTTCAATCAATAAAGTAGAATAGCGTTACTTAAAGACTTGTGGGCGTTATCACATAGTTGCTATGCGTTATCTAAAACTCATAATTATAGCACTATGTATCTCATTATTACGCGAATGGTGAGATTTACATAAGAGTAAAGAGGCCGATCTTATTGACCTCCTTAACACTATACATTAGCATAAATCAATAGAACTCATGCAAAGGAACTGGCCGATGGCAAAGTGCCCCAAGCGGTTAAGGGTATTAAACTTAAATAACAAAATGATGAATGAGGCTTAAAAAATTTTGTTTGTGACTGGATGCTATCAGGCAGGATTGTGGGTATAATATGATTATGTAGGACACAGTTTATTTGCAGGTTCTACCAGGAGATTGCATGCATTAAAATCAATAAAGAGACTTTCGTCAATAAGTAGGCAGAACGAATAAGTAACATCGGCGAAATAACCGAACATAGCGCGGTAAGAAAATATTTATAGGGCTGCTGATGACAAATCTGCCTGAACCCATATCGCAACCTATCAGTGATATAGGCAATATTCCATTAGGTATCTAAAAGTCTTCGAAGTTTCTGTTGTGCGCTCTGCGGGCGCTCACTGTTTTTCCTTGTGTTAATTTCCACCTTTTGCATATATGCATTGAGGTAGTTGAGCGTAAGACAGTAGATTTGTTGCATTGGTTGGTTCCAAATGACCGGTGCAGGTGATGCTTTCATTGTCACATTACTAGGTTAAATAGATTTGTATTTCAACATTTTGTACTGTCTTAAATAAACAGAGATTTTCATTTAACTTAAGGTGTAATAAATAAAAAGTCAATCAAAGAACCTTCTATAAAAAAAAATATGACATTCTTTTAAACGGGCAGTAATGTTCTTTCAATGCTAAATCCTTTTAAAACCTTTATTAGTAAGTGTTTCTGCACTTCAAAATCCGACGGCAACAGTCACTTAAGTCCTTGCCTCACTTGGTTAATCATAGGAGGATCGGGTGGTGACAAATCAGTTAAGGGAAAACCGTTAGGCTAAGCAGCTACAAACGATCCCTCCTTACACCGGTACGCCAGATTGCGAAGCTAGCTGGTATACGCAAGTTCTGTCCGTTCAGTTCAAAAGTTTCGAATGAAGGCAAATGAAGTCATCATTAATCAATCATTAATTAATTAATGAAGTTAATCATTGTCATTCGTTATCGCCCAAGTGGCCTGTTAAGCCTAAAATGAAATTTCCTGATACTGAGTCCGATAACAAATTAATCTGCTTTGTAGGGAATCTGTCAGAGATCTTTTAATATGTGTTCGAAGTTAAACTGAAACGAAAGAACATCAAACATAATTCTCCATGCCATTTAGATTAGCCGTTTATGACTATTGCCATCGGGGTTTCGACAAAAGACCCACTGTTATCGAACTATAATGAACCGAGTGATTCGATTTTCATAAGCTGGCGTACCGCCAGAATGAGCTGTTTCCCTAGTCCAGGAAACTACAACTTCAAAGAACCAAGTTCCCTCATTACAACGACAATTTAGACTCAATAGCTATAGCAGTCTTTCGAGAGATTTTATTATTATGATGAGGTGTTCAATAGGGGAAAAGTGAGTAGTGTTGTCCTTTCATTATTGCGATGTCTAGTGTTTAACGACATTGAAATTCTACTTGATTGGAAGATGTGATGGACGTTACGATCGAGATGAGGGCATTCAAGTACGGGATTATAAAGTAATCGTGCGACCATCGAATATGATGGTTCTGTTTTTTAGGGAGACACCAATCACAGTTCTTATCGTGTATGCGAAAACAGCCTTGAAAAAAAACAGCTTCCCTTTAAAATGTTCCATTCAAGCCCTTCTTATTACAAGCTGTATGGTCTGTCTTACAGCATATTGTTAATAAACATAATTTTACATGATACATATTTACCGGTTTTACGTTACTGCTTCGTCATGCGCTCAATAATGCCTTCCGGTCTATTTGTTTCGTTGGGCTCGTTGAGTGGTATCAATCGTCTGAAAGTTCAACTTCCATATTAGCCTCCTTTGTCTTTTCGCAAACGCCACACGGAATATATCAGTCGCTTGCAGATAATAATAATGTTTAAGCAAATCTAGACTAGACAAAAAAAATATATGTATATATATAATCCTGAAAATCTCTCCTTGACGAAAGGACGCATTTACCGACATTGAAGCGGTTTTGTTCTTTCCGAGCCGCTTGATGTACAGGGACGTCGTCGGCAAGACTACCGCGTCGCGTTCAATGTCGAAGTACGCCGCTGACGCTTCTGTCCCGGGGATAGTCGAATAGCAGCGATATATCAACCTAAACATTGCCGCTAGCAGAAATAAGAACATATCTATTGGTATTGCGTTTCTCCGTTCATCCCAAGGAGGCTACAGACTCTTCAGGTCAGAGCTACCTGTCCCCGTGACAGCCTAATGGCTAATGTATTGACCCGCTATTATTAGGGACACGTTGTGGTCTAGACACGAACCCAAGCATAGATTTCGTTTCGTGCTGGAAGCCAGCCAACCGTTTAATGGAGTGCCTAACGGCGATATCGGACGTAAAAGTCGAAACGTATAGAGGTCAAATGAACGCAAGGTCTGAAGAGTCATGGTAATGAAATCTGACTGCTAGGTTATATGCTATTAATTACGTGCCAAATATAACAAATACATTCATATTTCACATACATATGCCGCAAATCGGATCATATATTCACAGCAAGCATTATCAAACTACAAGTGAAAACGTACTTTACCTACGGAAGTTAAATAACAACGTCACGTAAAATATCCACCATGACTTTCCGGTGTCAAACTAGGTCTGCACAGATGTTCGTGCTGGGCATTCCTAATTAACCTTACAACAACGACGTTTTATAGTTAGCTATCCAAAAATGAGTCGAAATGGGTTGTAGGCACAAACTGGTTAATAGCTGCTGCGTCGGAGGAGAACCAATAAAGTTAACACGATAATCCCTCTAGATATAACGTAATATCTTCGCTAGAGAAATCAGAGGTAACGCGATAATAAGGTGTGGGCAAAACTGCACCGCTTTACTTAGATGGACCATGTACAATGCATCAACTACTTCATTTCTGTTGAGAAATACGCCAAACTCAACGCGATGCCTCCACTCGATTAACCTTCAAAGAAAAACTTTCAAATCTTATTGAAGAAGTCCTTGTATATCTCTATCCCTACCACTAAACAATTTCCATGTTGTCGTTCTGTTTGAATATGGTACGGCAAGAAGCACTAGGCAGTTACCGGAAGCACCGATCCGCTCAACTTTCCGAGACAGGACCAACGCATTTTTCGTCAGGATCTCGTAGTATATTTCACTCGAATTTCTATGGCTCCAAATTAATAGATGCACCAAACACAAGTCAAGCATCGTCAAAAAAATAATGTTTCGCATAGCGGCACAATGACATACTATGAAATTTGCAAATGTTTGAATGAATTACGTAATCAGACTACGTTACTCAGGACTACTTGGAAGAAGTATTTCTTTTTATCTAAACAATATTACCAATACGCATGAAGCACACTTGCATAGTGTAGAACTTCCTATCCTTACTTTCATAGTGAGTTGAAGTAGCATTGTGTGAAATGCGCTGTTTTGCCGGATAAGCTCAGTGGTGCCTTTTGGTTTTGCGTCCTCAGACACGCTGTTCGGAGGTCAATACGAATAGTCAACAGTTAACTTAGTTAGGCCATGTTTTGATAGATGTACGAGCATCTATCAACTTTTTAACGGTGGCGTTTTTCGGAAAGCAAACGTACTTTATCATTATTAATAGATGCCCTGCGAACCACTACTGCGATTGGAAACAGAGACGTGTTCGGTAACGCATGAGAACCCTCGTTGTCTTTGAGGAAGGCTTAATCGATAGCAAGGGGCGTCCGTTTATGGGGCAGAATCTTTATCTGTCCTGCAGCTTTATTTGAACAACTGTGTGAATGTTAGCCTCTAAGCGTATTAGGCCAATAGAAAAAGTGCACAGTTATAGGTTTACTGTGTTGTATCGTTGGTAGAATTTAACAAAGTGATGGGCTTGTGAAACAGCGCTGCCACTGCGAAAAGTGCATCCGAAGTTCTGGGAAAGCCGTTCTGATAAGGAAGACTTGACAGAAAAAGACACGGTATTGTAAAGGATTGGTAAATCAAAATCTGCTTCGGTGAATGTAATCTTACTTTCGACGCGGGCAATCTATTTGACAGATCGCAGCGAGTGAGTGGTATGTTGGCGCTATTATAATGACGTATTAGATGACAGTGAAATCTAAAAGTCACAGGAGAAAAATAATTATAGTTATGCCTGGTAGTAGTTACCGCAGAATTCAGTAAAAACTATCTTGGGTGAGGACAGCATTCCCCAGAAAAACATTAAACCACTAAACCTCCATTAGCCGCGGTGCCTCCGGCAAAATTCGCGTGGAAATGACTTCATTCATTAAGATTTTCCCTATGAATGTATAGATCATAACGTTTTTAACACTGTCTAACTGTTATGAAACATAGGCGCCTAGCAATTAAGCCGAAGGAATTCGTTAGTTACAAAGTGTCACCTAAGCGGCGTTTTAGGTCTTGTTACGTATGTTGAGTTGTTACATAAATACATTCTGTTTATTCCTAACAGACTTTTTCCAAGTTTATATTATTTCTTTACTTTTATACACTATTGTATCGGCATGCCGGTGCCTCCTCCCCTCCCCTCTCCTCTCCTCTGTGGTATCCTCATAACTGCATTATGCTATTAATGGGATTTTACGTCCGATTCAGTTAGTTCGAGGAAATCCACCAAAACCCAAAATTAAGCCGGCGATTTGGGTTTGGGGGCACTCGGTGGGTCCTAGGCATTGGGAAATACTAACAAGAATGAGCCGATCAACAATTTTCTGGTTAGGGTCATGTCGCGTTGGGTGAACGAGACTATCCAACAGAAAAGGCCCGAAAGACGGGGCAAATTTATCTTAGGATAATGGCACGCTAGGCCGCATATGGTGAACGTTGCGCAAACCGCTTCGCAAGAGTTGCAAGGGCAGGGGGTGCGCTCGTATTCAACATACCCTCCAAATGTCACTCTTACAGATTATGATTTTATCAGTCACTTGAAAGGTGGGAGGGTCACAAAGCCTAACTAGACGAGTCCTTTAATACTAGACCAGGAAATTTACCAGGAAGGAATAATCCAATTTGTTGACAGACGAATAAAAGTGATGGCAAACGCATAATAAATTCATACATTATCAGACACTCTGTTACTTTTTTTGTTATATAACAGAAAAAAAAAAACCAAATTACTTATATTTCAACGTATTATAAACACTTCGCTTCTTTTTGACGCTTTCTAGATTCTCACTTTTACCAAAAATAAAGCCAGTGTGCTCAATGCTATTTTAAGCGTCCCTATAGTACATCTGACTCTGCAATACGACAGATTACACACAATACACATCCCATGTAAAGGTTTATGGCGCTATCTTTCTGTGTCTCTCTATACGTCTCGAATTTTGCGTTCGGTATTTTTTAGCCTACTCGGGTCTTTTTATATCTAGAACGGTGAATGACTGAATTCGCGAACATGCGTACACTGATTGTGTGATGGTCGTTCCTTATAGAGTTGTCAAGTGCGGCCTCACAAAGAGGTATACATAGTGGAAGGTTTAACGTATGACATTACATCCTAACTATTTAGTTACTTCAAGAACATATTATGGACAAGTGACAGGGTGGTCAATATAGACTTACCGTTGAACACAAACGCAAACAGCTCGAAGCTGGTCGACCCTGCATACCTGGGTTACCATTAGCTTCTGTGCGATTCGTCATTATAAACAAATTGTTGGTCATAGTAAGCGAGCCCAAACCTTTCTTTATCTCTCTCTTTTCTTATATATTTATACACATTTATGTTTACATATAATCGAATACCAAGGATACCCCCGAAGCCGTCTAAATAGCCAAAGATTCATTTTTACACTTTTACTTTGTTGTAATTGTAGAAAAGTCTACATAAGCCAAGCGTGCTATAGAAAAACGATCCTCCCCCACAGGAAAAAATTACTAACACATTAATAGTCCCGTCGTAGCAAAACACGTACCGAACTTTCATCAGGATTCTTATGCAGACAAAAGATGAGATAATGATAAAGTACTATAGGTTTCTAATTGGAAATGATTGATAATTTGTCTATATACGCATTTGATAGGTCCCGTGCGTACACACAGCTTTAGGAATATATATACATAATTTTCCGTATAGAATTGACAAAATCACGTGGCCGCACTGCTTCTAGCAAAAATATTCATGACTATACGGCCATTGTAATTTGTTACATTAGTCTAGTCAAATCCGAATGGTATTGTTATCGCCGACGACCAGAGCTAAAATATTTAAATATAGCACACTTAAGTGTCGGGTCGAAATCGAAAACTCGGAATCGATAGATGACCGCCAGTAGCGGATTGGAATAACCGATATACACCGCTGTTTATTTAGCAGACGAAAAAAACAAACACTGCAGTATTATCAAAGAGGCGGCGCCTCACTCGGGAACAGACAAGTGACAAATACATTCACTGTCAATCTAACGTAACATTATGAGCATTTATAAATAGTCGCGTGTCGCGTTCGTAACCGTCGCCCATTGTCGTCTGAGCACATTGGGTTGTCCAAAAAGTGTTGACCGTTTTTTTTTAGCTAGATGGCTTTAGTTCAAGCAATGAGGGTCGGGTCAGGTTGACGTTAGCGTCATTCGAAAGCTGAGATTTGGCCGTGGTAGTGTACCGGAATCGTTAGAACGCAAAGTAGCCGGGTCATCTCTACACGACTGGTTTCGTGTGGTGAAAAATACGCCACATACAATAACAATGTGTGTTTAGTCGTCTATCCGACGAAGAACTTCTGATGGTAATCCGTATTTATTCTAATTTTTTTCTGGTCCAGTTAAGTGTCGACATAAAAACATCTTGACTTAATATATTGCTTCCTTAATAAATGCTGCAATAACAAAGTGAAGCATTATGACGTCGTGACCCTTCAACAACAGATCGACTTTCGTTTGGGTAGCACACTGCACAAGTTATGCTAGAAGCTTGTCGTGCTCTTGTGAGCGATCATACGTTAAATTACACTGACCTGCTGTGTACGTTAATTTGTTGAGCAAAAACAGTGTCGCCTCGGTGATAAATGGTCTCTGTACTAAACTGAATGAATGTTTTCTAGAAAAACAGACGCCTCTATGTTTTTACTTTTGCGTGCGGTCACAATTTGTGGAGCTTTGCAATGCTGTTCGCTGGACTGGGCTCATCTGTAGAGCTGAGAGAACTCTCTTGCCATTGAGTATATTTGCCACTGATGATAAGAAAATAAGATATAATATGCTTTTTGACGCATACGATTTATCGATATCTGATAAAGAGAAACTTTTGATCCAATCTTAGCATGATGACACAGATGCTTTTCGTCTAGGATAGAATGCACGTATTCAGAACAGCTCAGATCACATAACTAATTGTGTTTTAGATAAATACAGCTAAGGCGAGTTTTCCTTGAAGCGAAGAAAAGTGGTAGTCTATTTTCGAATCCGGAGACTTAGTTTTGTGCGGAGGGCCAGCCGTCTGAACCAATGACGACCGGCTTCAGCATCGGGCGTATAGTACGAAAATCCAGGTAAGACTAGTCGATTCAAACTATAATGAATACTGTGACCGTATTGGTGACCCACACAAAGAAACAAGAAGTAACTCTATAAAAAAAAGAGTTACTTCTTGCAACTACATAACATGTGTGGAAGGAATTTAATTAAATCACGCCAATATTTTTATGTTTTTTAACAGAAATAGTAACTAGGTTTATGTTAGGATACGTCTAGTTGAGCGGACGTAAAGCTCGAAACACTTTAACGATCTGAATTTTTATTCGCTTGGGCTTAAATATAGCAAGAAAAACGGTTTTTGCAAGTAGGACAATCTTATCTAACTACTATATGACGGATTGTGTTTTGCCTGAACAACAATATTTCTGACTTGTATATACTGGAAGATGGCGCACGTCGTATAAGGCCAACGTAACGTAACGGCCTTCGACATTGTTAGCGATGAGCTGTAACGATTCGGCTTTTAAAAAAAAAGACCAATTCAGGCCGTAAAAGCTTCTTTAGATTATCGAAAAATGAGCAAGCTATATAGCATAGCTCAAAATGAAGCCTAGTCGAACTAGGACTAAAACGAGTACCGACTCAGGACTAGACACAGAAAAATATGTAATGCGTGCTGATCTGACTAATGTCCCACACTGCTATGGCAAAAATCTATATATACGTGAGGTTTGGTGTTCGTAAACGATATTTACACGTTAACATCTCTAGAAATAGTAATATGAAAAGTGTGAAAATTCTGGCGCATCGGCTGCGAGGTGAGTGGAACAAGGTTATTTTCGATGCCGAAACATCGTCAAGGGGACTTCAGCTATTTTGGTCAAAGCTATAGGTGTTTAATGTACTATTATTAAATCTGGTTCACACAATAGAAACCTAATCACCGTATGAAAATAGGGTGGTCTAAGCGACGCACGCCTAAGTAAGATTTCATGTCACTAAAAGTGACAACTTACTTAACACAAACCGACTGGTGAACTTCAAAAATACAAGGGAACTGTCATTCTATGTTTCGTAGTTTCAAACGAAATCGCTGCCACTAAACACAGAGCCATTGCGAAATCAGAGGGGGATTCAATAAGTTTACGTTTGAATTGTTTTGAACAAGCTAGTGCGTTCCCTTTTCATTCAACCTTTGCAACCATGTAATAAGGGCTTCCTGTTTACCATGTTCAGCTATAGCTGGCAGTTCCCGAAGTAAATATTGCAGGATATAACGGTTCACTTTTATATAAAACGACACCTTTTCCATACAAAATCCATACAGATACGTAGCATTGAAGCTAACAATCCGCTATGGCTATTTCAAATGCGGACAATGAGTTGCACTCGTTGGCACAGACATAAACTTTACGTTAATTCATCTAAAAGTATCCTCTGGAACTGTTATGCAGCAACATCCGTGTCGGTGACGATCAGACATGTTCTTCCAACTTGCTATATTTCCTTTGTCCACGCGATTCACAGGACACAAAATTATTTAATGTTATATTTATTAAGGAAAACGGCGCAAGTTCCTTATTAGCCAAAAGCTTACTTTAGCCAAGAGATAACTAGAAATGCGAATTAGTTTGTTTGAAGGCGGCAATAACTGGTTATAAATTATTACAAACCTCCTTGTTAAGTTAGAAAATGATGCACCACGCCACCTATCCAACACTTGTTCATCTCCGTCGTTGCAGTAACAGTTGAATGCCCTAAATTATACGTGGCAAATTTGCATTGCATACATATCTGTAGAAACTGTTGGATTAAAGCCGCTCTCGTGACAAAAACCCAGTAAGTCTAGACGGTAGACTTGACTGCGCCCAAACGTTACCGGCACTCGACCCAGAGGTTATTTTTCAGATAGCTTATGTTATTCTGTTGTGCTAAACCGCATGAAGGGCATAAGAAGCATGGTCTTGGATGAATGAAATAAAGCGTCAAAGTGAATAGGTAAACATCAACACCATCATGTAGTAGTTCCGTTGAGAAATCAGTGGACGAAACGATAGCTAACCAGATGATTACGTACATATGTATCTCCTATATATACATAGCCCACGCGGCCATAGTTAATTTTTAAACGAAAAAGCTTGCGGCAACATGGAAGCATCGCTAGCAACTAGCCCCTAACATGTTCAGTGCAATTTCTATGCAAAGCCTGCTATGCTATCGTATCACCTTCCGACAGGTCCGTTTACAGATCAGTTTAATCATATATTACGACCTGGCTGACCTGCGGTCAGCTCTACGTCAGACACTAGACCCTCAAAGTTTTCAGTGACACGCAATTTGGTTGGAAGGATTCATGAGAAAATGTAGTGCCGATGATAGTGAGGATAAAATGGGAACATATGAAACTGAGCTTAATCAGAGGCCTATTTTAATATCCTGATCTTATTGTGATAGAATTGGCGTTATTAGTTAATGACGACTGCGGTCAGTTACCCTTTTCATCAGTTCTGTAAACCCCGATTAGCTAGTCGTTCGAGTTAACGTTTTTCTCCTAGTTAATTTTGATTAAAACATAATTTAATAGGTTTTTCATCTGGCGGTTTATATCTATTTACTGCTTTTCATTGAAATAAAAAAAAAAAAACAGAACAGTGATCAGAATCGTAAATTCTAAGTGATATACCTGTGTGCTTATAAGCGTGCTGATAAAATTATTGTACTTCCGCCCAAAAACAAGCAACAAAATTGTATTCTGCGAACGCTGCTCGTTGCCCTTGAGGCAAGTGAACTATCTTTAGTAGGAATGGCTGACAGTCGTTCATTTTAGAGGAACGGACCCTGAATCAAACAGAATAGCATTCGAAGCTGTTCTGTAACCATTCAGTCTGTGCTGAAAATCTGCAGAAGTTGGTTCTCTGTATGGGTGATACCTGCTCATTGATGGAACTGGCCATTTCAGCGACATCAGCAGACGAGATCGAAAAAAGTGCACGATGCACTTTCACCGCCGAATACCGCGGCTAGCATCCTCTAGTTTGATGTATTCAGTAAACTTTTCACGAAGGGCCCAACTAAGCACTCTACTCTAGAAGGTAAAAGGCAATGATGCCTTCTTGCTACCTCCGGGATTTACTCTTCCACCTGGCGTTGTCTCGGGCAAGCCACAGGTCAAATTTGATGACA